TTTTTTTTGCCTCAATTAACCAAATTGACCTGGTAAATTAGAGGAAAATGTCAAACACTCGTTTACCCTTTACTCCTCGGCCATTTGACAAGTATGCACTAATCACTACACGTGTGACATTTCAAAACCAACAACGCTGCAAAGATTTGGCAATACTTCAAACAAAAATGAAGACTGCTTTACTCTCGTTTCCCTACGATCAAACCACCAACTACAATTACAATTGATAAAAGAGGGTAGAGGAGAAGCGAGAGAGTTGGTTGAAAGCCGTAGCGTGTGAAAGAGAGCGTAGTTGGTGTGGAAAAAAACAAAAAAAAGAAAAAATGCAAATCATCAAGCATTCATACGAGAGTTTGGAACTAATTAGTACCTTTTTATGAGAGAAAGGATGCAAGCAACAAAACAGCTCTACTTAACAATGACAACGAATGACAGTAGACACGACAGTCGCCATTAAACGACCCGAAGGAGAGAGAGAGAGGTGAGTTTCACAGGAAGAGTGAAAAGTTAGTGCAGCTAGACTGAGGAGTTGTGGATGGAAGTTCTCCACGCCAGACACCTCAGTGAGTGCTGTACTACTGCCGTCTGTCAGAACTGCAGGAGGTCTCTTCTTGGGCCTTCAGACAGGCGCATACTTGACTCAATGGGTGGGCAAGTGGATGATGTGAGGTGGTCACTGGCACTTCTCTTAGTTGGAAGACATTCGTCTTTCCTCGCCAACTTGCTCATTGTCACATTGGCACGTGGATGTTGGCGGTAGAGAAGGTGTGTCAGTCAGCAGTGATCAGTTGTAGTCCGAGTGCAGGCTTGACAATGGTCCGTGTTTTTTGTTGGTGAATGACGAGATGAGCGGAGGTGGAGGCAGGTGGAAGCAGGTGGGAGAGTTGCATAAGCACAGGGATCGGGGAAGAGTTTGTGATGACGATGAGGGAGGAGGAGGTGAGTGGAGCGGAGGGTGGAAGGAAGGAAGATGTCACTATTGTTTTGCTTTCAATTCGCCCAACCACTATTCGACTGAAGGCAATGCGAATGTGGCGATTGGTGGTGGAGCATTTGTTTAGTGCAATGTGAGTGAAGGTGTGAAGCTGATATCGTTTAGGCGTAGAAGGGTGGAGGAGAAGGAGGAGGAGGATGTTGAGAGACATCTCCTTGCCTTCCTCCACGTCGACATGGCGTTGCGCACACACACACCTGACCTCATTCGAACGTTGCATTGGCGCCACAGCCGCCACCACCACCACCACTACGGTCGCTGTCACCATCACCAGTTACAACAGTAAAAGCAGTAGCCTCGTGTGAAGTGTGTCCTGCTGCAATGGCATGATGGAGTCGGAGTGACAGGTAGTTGTCGAGAAGGAGGAGGAGGAGGAGGAAGATGTGGTGAGTGCTGTCTGCCTCACCAAACTGAGGGTGCATTGAGGGCAGTTTGGAAGAAGTCAACAATAAATGGGTTGTGTTGCAGTGTGAATGTGGTGGGAGATGAAAGTGAAAGTCATGAGAGGTGTTTGAGAAGTGGGTGAATGAGGAGGATCGAAGAGGAGGATGGAGAAGGGAGAGAGAATGACGTGTGATGTTGGTGCTGGTGGGAGATGTTTGCTTTTTTTCCCATACAACATGGTCAAA